GCGCCCCTCGCTCCCCCAGCCCCTGTCCGCCTTCAGGCGCCGCGCCGCATCTGGAGGCTGCTCCTTCGCCCCCCTGGCGACCGGCGTGGGGAAGACACTTGCTTCGCCCGAGACCCGAGCCGAGGGCTCTCTGGGGTGGGCAGCGCCGCCGCAGCCCCCGGGAGCGCCCTGTCGGGGGCGGTGCCGAGCCCCCAGCGACCACCCCCCGGCGTGCTCTGGGCTGAGCCCCCGCCGCGGAGAGAGGCTCGTGCTCCCTTTAGCGGCCGCAGATCCCCGGGGGCACTGGCACCTGCAAAGGGGACTCCAAGGTGATCAGTCGCCCAGTCCGGACGGGACAGCCTGGACCGAGGCCTCGTGACATTCGCCCATCCTGGGTGCAGCCGCCTTCCCAGAACTTTTTTTGCGCCTAGGGCTCGCCGACTCCTTAGCCCCTGGAAAAGTTCTCTCGGGCGCCAGGAATCCTATTTCCCGGTGGCTTCCGAAGCTGGGCAGGAACCAGGGCTTTAGGGGGCAGGGTACAGTGGGGATGCGGTGGGGGTGCTCGGCAGCCGGGGTAGATCCGCGGAAAGCCTGGCAAGCGTCCGCTCCTTCGCGCAGGGCGGGCTTGTTGGCAACGAAAGGGTTTCGGCGCCATCGGGGTTGTTTGGGTTTCTCCCTCCAGGAGGATGGGGGGAGGGCGCGAAGGGGGGATTTTAATTTCGTCGCTTCAAATGAAAACGCTCTTTGCAAAGAATTAGCCAGGGCAGCCAGTGACGGAGAGATGGGCTGACCAGGACCGGCTGATACAGGTATTTCGGCGGCGCCCCCCACCTCACCCGGTGCCTGAGTGCCTGTGTGAATGTATTGATTGTTTTAATTGATTTTTTTTTTAAGCCAGGTGGCAGCGGCTGCGTGTGTGATACACAGATATATACATACACAAACATAGATACCCAGGCGCACACAGATTACACGTACAGAGTCATACACAAGGAACACCCCCACACACACACGTACTCACCACACACACACACACACACACACACACACACACAGATCTCGGACCTCCAAGCACACATACCTCCCAAGAGCCTTGGGTTATGGGTGTGGTCCCTGAGTATTGCCCAAGACTGGGTGGGGGTGGAGTGGGTCAGAGGGTGAGAGAAAAGGAGGTGAAGCAGGACTTCCAATAGGTCATTTCTTTCTGGCCCACTCCAAATTCTTTGCTTTCTCCTCCAAGGGGGTCTGAAGGAGAAATCCCAAACCTGGGCTGGCTTCCACTGCCATAAAGGAGCGGAGCCCAAGCCCCATGCCCCTCATGCCCTCCAGGCAGCGAATAAGCCCTGCCCTCGCCCTCCTTGGGCCTGACCCCAGGGCTCCAGGGCCTCCAGGTCGCTCAGAAACCGAGGGAGCGGGCACCTGGAGATAGGGGCTGACCCGCAGAGGCCGTTTCCGTCTCGGGGTCTCACACCTGCTCCGTCCTGGTTTTGGGAAGAGAGGAGGGGTGATCCAAGGGACAGCGTGGGGAGCTTGGGTTTGGGCGGGGTGGAACTGACAGACTGCACCCCCCGGGCACCGCAGTGAGTCTTCCTCTCACCCTGGGCCCCTTAGGAATGTAATCGAGGATGCTGGCCCTGAGGCTGCTCAACGTGGTGGCCCCCGCCTACTTCCTGTGCATCTCCCTGGTGACCTTGGCGCTGCAGCTCTTCCTCTTCCTGCCCAGCATGCGCCAGGACCCCGCGGCTGCCCGGCTCTTCCCTCCCGCACTGCTCCACGGGGCGCTCTTCCTGTTCCTCTCCACCAATGCCCTGGGCAATTACGTCCTGGTCATCCAGAACTCCCCCGACGACCTGGACGCCTGCCAGGGGCCCTCGGCCAGGAGGGCCCCGTGCCCCCCGCCCAGCACCCACTTCTGTCGAGTGTGCGCCAGAGTCACCCTGAGGCATGACCATCACTGTTTCTTCACGGGCAACTGCATCGGCAGCAGGAACATGCGCAACTTCGTCCTGTTCTGCCTCTACACCTCCCTTGCCTGCCTCTACTCCATGGTGGCCGGCGTGGCCTACATCTCAGCAGCCCTTTCCACCTCCTTCGCCCACCCCTTGGCCTTCCTCACGCTCCTTCCCACCTCCATCAGCCAGTTCTTCTCCGGTGAGTGGGCCTTGGCCTGCAGGTTGGGCCCTACACAAGGACCCTCCACCCCCACCCCAAGTTTGCCAGATTTAGCAAATAAAAATACAGGATGCCCAGTTAAATCCTAATGTCAGATAAACAATACATATAACTCTTTTGTATAAGCATGTCCTAAACATTGCATGGGGCATACTTAAATTTTAAAAATTTTGTGATCGAGGCACCTGGGTGGCTCAGTAGGTTAAGCAGCGGACTCTTGGTTTGGCTCAGGTCACGATCTCAGGGTCGTGAGAGCAAGCCTCGCTTCCTGCTTCCTGCTCTGCGCTCAGCCTTGCTGATCCTCTCCCTCTGCCACCCGCCCCCACCCAGTGTGCTCTCGCTAAAATAAATAATCTTTTTGAAAAATAAAAAGTAAATAAAAATTCTGTTATCTATCTGAAATTAAAATTAACTGGGCTTACTGTATTTTTCCCAGCCGCCTCCTTCTCCACTCCCCATCCTCATTCATCACCTCCTCCTTGCTTGCCACTAACCATTTGCACATAGCATTTCCTGAGGATCCAGGCAATACACCTGCTCTGTGCCAGGCAGGCTGGGCGCTGACCATCCCTCCATGCAGTTTGTGAGGCACACCCATGCTGTGACCTTCGTCTGCCTGGACTCCAGTCCTGCTCACACATTCCCCCAGGGATTTTGTCCTCCAAAGGTCTTGCCAACCAACCACAGTAAGACTGACCAGGGTGCCAGTCCAGCCCCAGCAGGAGGCTAAGCCCTGCCCTCCTGCCCAGTATGTTTGTCCCCACCAGCCTGAAGATGGCTTGGAGCAGGGGGCACCCTGGTTGGAGATGCAGCCATGTTTAATGGCTCCATTTCACATCACGGAGCTGTGGGCCTGGCATGGGATGTGACCCTCCAGGGAGGCTCTTGCACTTGCAGGAGCCAGGCACGTGGGCCTTCCCACTGGCACTCAGCTGCACACCCTGTGGGGACTGTACTTTATATAGTGTGCCCCAGGGAAAGCTCCTTCTTGGTTCCTGGCCTAGAGGGACCTGGCTCCTGGTGGCAGTTCTTACCACTTTATCTGGCCTTGAAATTTGTCCCTACCTCATTTCCTTCCATTCCATCCCTACCCTGGCCTTTGACTCCAGCTGACTTGGATCTTACAGTTGGTAGAGTGCATGCATGTGTGCGTACGAGTGAGATTGTTATCTCCATCTCGCAGATGAAGACACTGAGGCTCAGATGGGATTAAACGGCTTTCCCAGGATCTTACTACTACTGACCACCAGCCTTTGCCCCCCTTCCCCAGGTCTTGAAACAACCCCCAGCAGCACAGGGAATCCAGCACGTTTCTTTACCTAGTGACGTTTCAGGAACAAAGAACGACATTGCGGCTACTTCCATCCAGAGCCCAAGATTGTCTTGATGTGCCTGGGCTGGCCACTCACAAAAGTTCTGCTCCGCTCTGGGGGAAGCATCATTTTGGTCTTTGGTGGGGCTGCAACCTGCTCCTTCGCAGGAGTAGAACTGTTGTGCCATCAGACAGTGGGAATTCAGAGGCCCAGGAAGGCCCCAGCTGTAGGGTCGCCTTGAGGGCTGATGGCTGAGTTCGGCCCAGAACTCAGAGCTCTGGGGCCTTCTGGATCCTGGCATGGGCACAGGAGGCTGCTGGGACCAAAATAACCAGGCCGGGGGAGGGTAGGTGGGCGGGCTAGGGGGTGGAGTGTGAGCACAGGCAGGTGGAGGGATGAGGAGAGCCAAGAGAGCCTGATTACACTTTCTTTTCCAAGTAGCTTCATCACATCAAAATGAATGGTTCCAAAGGGAGGATCTTGAAATGGTTTGATTTGAGATAAGCCTGGGCTTGAGGCCTGTCCATATGTGCAAGGTTTGGGAGACAGGATAGAAAGGAAGAGGGGCTCTTGCCTTGATCTGGGGGGAGAAGAGAGCCAGTCAGCACCTACCTTGGGGCCCAGATCCCTGTTGCAGCAGAAGGATGAGTCCCACCCCCTTTTACCTCCTCCCCATCCCCACCAGGGAAAAGGAGGTCAAGATTTCTAATCTCCAACTCTCCCATCCCATCCATCTTCCTCCTTTGCTGACCTTTCTTCTTCCTCCGGGGCCAGCCCTCCTCACTCCCCGCCCACACACGCACCTCACCTCTTCAGTTTCTTCCTTCCTGTCTCCTCTCCTATTCTCAATCCAAAGGGTTATGGGCACACCCTCTGTTGTCTGCCCAGGAGGGCAGGTAGAGAGGAGGGAATGGGAAGGGACAAGCTGTTTCGTGATGGAGCTGTCCCCAGCTGTGGTACTGCCCCAAGTCAGGTCTGCCAGCAGAGCACAGCATGGCTGTGAGTGTGGGCCCGCAGCTCAGGCCAAGGAGGTGGGAGATTGGCCAGTTTGATTTTGGAAGTTGTCCTTTCTTTGGGCTTCAGGAGATTGAGTCACCTCTCTGAGTCTCATTCGTCTCATCTGGGAAATGGAGACGCCATCATCTGACCTGTGTCATGGCATTTGGATAAGTGTGCCAGCATGGCGGGTGCCACCAGAAAGTCCAGGAGAGGGAAAGGGGACTAACATTTGCTGAGCACCTATTATGTGCTACCCACCCTGCAGGTTTCACTTCATTCAATCCCCACAACGAGTCTAGGAGGTAAGTATTCTCATATCCATTTTAAAGGCTCAGGAACCCAAGGCTCATCAAGGTTAAGTTGCTTCTTTTTCTTTTTCTTTTTTTTTTTAAGATTTTATTTATTTATTTGACAGAGAGAGAGAGAGGGAGCGAGAGCAGGACCACAAGCAGGGCCAGAGGGAGAGGGAGAAGCAGGCTTCCCACTGAGCAGGGAGCCCGATGCGGGGCTTGATCCCAGGGCCCTCGGATCATGACCTGAGCCGAAGGCAGACACTAAACGACTGAATCACCCAGGTGCCCCAGTTAAGTTGCTTCTAAACCACAGAACTAGTGTGACTCCAACCCAAGATTTAGACTCAGGGCTGCCAGCCTCTAGAGCTCATACTCCATTCACTGCCCCACACGGCCTCTCTCGAGCTGCTTCTTGATGAATGAGCCACTTTGGGAGGGAGCAAGGTTCTTGTCCCTGGATGTCTATTAAAGATGCCGGATGATGATCTGTCAAAGGAGTTATAGATGCTTGGTAAGAAGGAGGGATGAAGAAAGATTGGATTGTGTGACCATTCAGACCCTTTAGGAAAATTCTGTGATTTTCTAAAAGAAGCAGAACTATTATTAAATAATTCAGAGGAGCTGAGGCAGCCAGGCTGAGCAACTTCAAACACTTCAAGAGAAAGCACGTCCCCAGAATAGCCTTTTGTAGCTGCTGCAAGGGGCCAGGAAAAGGCCACAAGGTCTTTTCCACATGTCTTAATTTAGTGCCAGAAAAAGCCTATGGAAAACAGCTTCCATCAGCCCAGGCTTATCCCTGCGGCTGAGTTACAAGGCAGGCCCTGCGCTTGACAGCTCTGATGTCTCACATCCCAGCTCGAGGGCCATCTTTGTCAGCATTCCTAGAGCCCAGAGGGCACCATGGGCCCAGGATCCTTCATCCTGCACGTGGCTGCCTGAGCTAACCTGTGCCGACAGGAAGAAGTGGGTCAGAGGGATGGAACAGCCCTATGTAAGCCCTGTCCCACTGCCGCCCCCATGCCGACTGAGGGGCTGCTCAAAATGCCAGCTGGAGTGAGCTTTCCATCTCCCAGGCAGCTGGAATTATTTGTCCCCAACTTTGCAAGGAGAAACTGCTATCAAAACTCCGGGCTGAGGGCAAGAGGAGGCTGCTAATGAGCAAACCTGAATCCGGTCCACATCCTCCTGGCTGCTGAGTCCACTGCTGCTCAGGCTGGACAAGTTTTAAAAGCCCAGCCCTCAGGCGTCTGGAAATTGGGGACTGAGGAGACCAGGGAAGAGGTGGGCTGGAACTCGGGGATGCTGGAGAAGAAGAATATGGTTGAGATTCGCAGAGGCTGAATAGGTTGTAAGGTGGGGTCTCTGGAGTGGTTCATTCACCTCATTAGAAGGGGTGGTGGTGGGCTTGCCCTGCAGGGAGAGAGGGGCTGAGGAGGGCCTTTGAGTTCTCTCCTGGACCCACTGCCCTAGCTGCTAGGCAAGTCAAGCTAGGTGTCTCTACCATGGCTTTCAAGGCTGCAACCCATCCAGAACTCCAAGCCATGGAAGGAAGGAGAAAACTTGATGGTCTTAGGAGTTAAATGTGAGCCCTTCTTTGATGTAGTCTCCTCATCTGTGAATGACCCTCAGCAGGGAGCATTGCACTGAGTGTGAACCACAATGCTAGTCACTTTGTACACAATTTCCCTGAATCATGCAGGGATTACTGGAATCCTATGGAATCATTATTATTATACCCATTTTGCAGATGAGCAAACTGCAACTCAGAGAGTTTAAAAAACTTGACAAGACCACAGAGCTGGGAGATTCAAGGTAGCATGGACTAACCAACCCAGATCTGAACAAGAATGTGGGATCTCTTATTCAGGGGGTGTTTAAAACCAATAGTAGAGAGTGCTGGTTTGGAGGGGTTTGGAGAGGTCCTGCCCAAGGCAGGGAGCTGGACTGATGACCTTGGGGGCCTCTTTCAGCCTTAGTAAGCTCTGACTGACAGGACAGCTCTGGCCAAATGCCCTAGTGGCCACACTGTCCTCTTGTTAACATTAATGGCTGAATTATTCTCTAAGTCAATGCTCTGCACTGCCCTTGGAGCTTGTGATTTATTCTTCTTGATGACTAGGCCCTGTTCTCCATCATGCTGTCACTTTCCGGAGTCCTCCCAGCCAGTGTTCCCAGCTGCATAGGAAGATGGTGCTGCAGTCAAGGAGACTGCCCAGGAGCCAGCTCTCTCTCTAGCATCCTCAGCTCACCCCCCTCCCCTCCTGAGAAAACATGTTCTCCCTGTTTCCAGACCACAAACAGAAGGCAGAGAGAGACGGCATCTCTGACTCTGAGGAAATGTTAGCATCTAGGCACTGCCCAGAGAAGCTTCCTTTTCTTCTGCCCCACGTCCCCAGTTCTCTCCTCTCCCTTCAGGAGCCATCGGCACTAAGAAAGTTAGGTCAACTAGTTCATCCTTCTCCTCCCTCGCTGCGGCAGCCCTGAGATTACTACAAAATATAGCTTCAGTCTCATTAATCTCCCTCTCTCCCTGGCGGAAAGCGCCTGCATGGATCGCTTTTCCGGACGTGGCCTGGGTGTAAAGCGAGTCTGGTGTTTCCCGGCCCCCTGCAGGAGCTGTCCTCGGTTCTGAAATGTTCGTCATCCTCATGCTCTACCTCTGGTTTGCCATCGGCCTGGCCTGCGCGGGCTTCTGCTGCCATCAGCTGCTGTTGATCATCCGGGGACAGACCCGCCACCAGGTGCGGAAGGGGGTGGCGGTGAGGTCCCGGCCCTGGCGCAAGAACTTACAGGAGGTCTTCGGGAAGAGGTGGCTGCTGGGCCTGCTGGTCCCCATGTTCAACGTCGGAGGTGAGAGCTCCAAGCAGCGGGACAAGTAGCAAGCATTCCCATCATTTCTCTGTGTGTGCGTCTTGACTCCTCCTGAACATAAAACCATGGCACTCTTGTCTCCACCCATGACCCAATACAACCTTGAGCTGGTAAGGTCCTAGCATCCATTTCTGGGTCTGTGACCTAGAGAGAACTGTGTTGCTGGTGGATCATAGCAAGAAGGAAAAATGGCCACCTAGGCATTGCTAGGCTCCCGGGAGCCAGCCCACTGTTAGGAGGCCTTTGCTTTTGTTCCTTCCCCTTGGAGCCCCTGCTTCCCCCTCTGCCTGGTTCACCCACTCTCTCCCATATCTCATGTCATCACTGCTATCACCTAGAACTCTTTCTCTCAGACGCATGTTAGGAGTGGAGAATGGATTCTTCCTGTTGGTATGATACTCCCCAAGATGCAGAGGCTGGCAAAAATGTTTAAAATTACCGTGTGTAAGAGGTAGCCAAGTTGGCTCTGCCAACTGCTTGTGAGGTTGAGAAAGGAGGGGTGTGTTCTTATCCTCTATGTGCAATTGTGAGCAGTAGAAGGGAAACTCAGCAGCTTACTGCCCCATCCCCAAACTGCAAGGCCCTTTCTCTGGGAGACAGAAGCCAATGGCCAGGGATTTCCAGGTCCTGTCCTCTGTCCAGCTTGCCCCAGCTGGCCACCCCAACCCAGTCTGGGACCTGCCTGGATGCTTCTTTTCCCTGGCACTCTTCCAGCTTTCCCCGCCTTGATCTCCAGCCTCTGGGTCTTTGCTAGGTGCTGGGGAGGCAAGGAAGAAGGAAGAAGGAAAGAAGAAATACTGACAAATGAGAGAAGCATGTGACTGCATAACCATACAGAAGGGGACGTGTGTGTGTGTGTGTGAGTGTGTGTGTGTGTGAGAGAGAGGGAGAGAGAGAGAGGGAGGGAGAGATGGTGAGGAGTTTTGTTGTGAAATAGACAGAGAATGCCTAGGGGATGGGAAGAGAGAGGTCACACACAGGCTGGGCACTGGGATATTTGGGGAACGAGAATGAGGAGCAAGTGGGTTCATTTCTGAAGGACATTCTAGCAGCTAAAGCTGTTCAGTGTTTGAATGGCTGCCTGGGAAGGTAAAGAGTGCCCCACTGGAGGTATTCCAGCAGGGACTGGCCAGTCATCTGGCAGGCATGCTGTGGAAAGAATTTCTGCACAGGGTAAGGAAAGGGAAGATCCTTTCCCACCCCCAAGATCCTAGCATCCTCTTTGTGATTGCTGGTCCGGAGGCAAGAACTATAGAGATGCCTGTGAATTATTTGCTTTCATGAAGGGGGCGAGCAGGCGTGGTGGGGTCTGAAAATCATGATGCAAACTTTCAGGACCCTACCTAGCTACCAAGGAGGGAGTCTGTGGAGAGCCAGGACAACCTGGGTATTAATGCTAGTTGAGGGGGTTGGCATTTGAGGAAAGGGAGATGGAGCAGTGTCAGGGGCAGATGGGGACAGTGGCGGGGGAGCTGGAAGGTCATGCTCTGCTCTGAGAGGTGAGATGGGGAGACTTGAAGCTTGGGAACGGGGGAGACCAGAATATGGGGGTGCAGTTGTGAGACCAGCCCTGCTTATCTAACTGGCTCTGGATGGGAGCACAGCTCTGTGTTCTGGGACCCAGAGGATCAAATCTCTGGGGCATGTTTTGGAGTATGGACAACACAACTGCCCCTTCTGACTGGATCCCAAGGTCAGTTTGCCATCCATGGAGACAGCAGGGCTGAAGCCCACATCCTACAGTGTCCAACTGGTGGCCACAGTGACCCCAAGCATTGCCACACAACACCCTGAGTTCTTGAGCAGAGTTTGGGAGGACTCTACCTTGGTCCTGCCTTCACGCCCCCTATAGGGCTAATGTAGAAATGGCACCCCTGGCTCATACTCCCTCCCATATTCATTCATTCATTCATTCATTCATTCATTCATTCATTCATGCACCCTCCATATATTTACTGAGTGCCAACTATGTGCCAAGTCTCTTCCAGGCACTGGTATACAATGATGAACAAGACACACTTGTGATGAGCACTGGGTGTTATATGTAAGTGATGAATCACTAAGTTTTACTCCTGAAACTAATATTACACTCTATGTTAACTAGCTGGAATTTAAACAAAAACTTGAAACAAACAAACAAACAATGATGAACAAGACAACAAGATCTCTGCCATCAGGGGCATCTTGTCACTGCCCCCATGCACTGACTCCCACACCTTGAGAAATGGTTACTCTGCCATCTTGGTGTCAGCAGGGCAGGTCATTTGGAAGGGAAGGATATTTACAGAGAAGGCCGAAGAGGAGCCCAGGCTGACTGGATGGAAGAGTCACTGGGGAGCATCTTCACCCCTGGTTCTGTCCATACTTAAACAGTGGGATTGGAAAGGACGGGAAGAGAGGCCCTGGGCAGTCCAGGCCTTGGCTCTCTCCCAACTCCAGAGCTCAAGCTTGGAAGCTAGCCATGCCATTCCCAGCCTCCTGGAGGCTTGGCACTGTGAGGCTTGACATGGGGAAAGGAAATAAAAGGGAGACCTGCAGGGTTTGACTCCTGGCAGACTGGTCAGTGGGTGGTGATGGTGGGGAGGTTGCCAGGTGTGGGACTGGAGTAGCATTTGTACACATGGCCCTGTATTGTTGATGAAGAACATCAATAAAATATGTGGTGTTGAATTGGATTTGATGCGATCGCCCGGGCCCTGTGGCTGGTAGCAGGGCTGGCAAGGCTAGAAGGCACTGAGCAGTCCTAATAGCTGTTGAAATACTTAAGCTAAGTATTAAAAATACTTCTGTTCTAGTAAGTAAGTAACCATTGTCCAGACTCCCTGAGTAACTGCCCCTGCTGCCCCAGCTGCTCCAGCGACACCCCTCGAGCCCCTGGCTCACCTCAGAATCCAGTGATGAAAAGGGCAATGCCTTTACCTGCATGGAACCCCCAGGATCCTACTCCAGCCCATCAGCCAGTGTCCTTTGTGACCCAGCAGGGTTGTGCTGTGTGGTTGGGAAATGTGTGGATCCTACCCCGGGGTTGGTAGCGGGTCTGTGTGCTGGGATCTGTGGACCCACGGGGAGCAGGGGTAGAATGTCTAACCTGGGAACTTTCTTCCACTTCCTTCCACTGCTCTTCCTCTCCCACCCCTTTCCAGGTCAGAGGACAGGTGGGGAGAGAATGAAGAGGAGAAGCCACTTGGTTCTCCATCACAGCCAGAGCTGACCACCCTTGAGGATCAGCCAGGCTCTCTGATCTCTCAGCCTCTACAACACTTGGAGACTTTGGGCTACCCAGTTCTGGGGGCAGCTGAGAGGGGGTTGGGCCCTGAAGGGAGGGAGTGGTCCCTGAGCGGGTGAATGAGCATGACATCTGATGCATCCTAAAGACAAACAGGCCTAGACTAATGGAGGACATAACTACAAAGTGCTAGTTCCGCTTGGGCTGGTGAAGAACCTTCGGCCAAAGCCAGTGTTGTATATGGGTCTGCATTCCCTGGATACATGCCAATGAGCAACCAAGAAGGCAGACCTTAGGTATGCTGGCCAGTGGGTGGGGGATTGGAGGAGGTGGGAGGTGGGGGGGAGGGGATGAATGGAGGTGTAGCTAATCTTCAGCACATTCTAGAGCATGGGCTGTCTACACTCCACAGGGCAGACACTCTGGCTTTTCACCATTGTATCCTGAATGCCTAGCAGGGGCAAGGCACATAGTAGGTGCTCAGTAAATATTGACCAAATGAGTGCTTAGATTTTGTGCTCATTTGCCCACTCCATATCTCTTCTGTTCTGTGCACACTGTGGGGCTGGAAGAGAGATGCGACAACACTGTCCTCCAGGGGTTCACATCCTGGAGAGGTTCCTGGGAGACCCCAGAGGAGGAAGAGAGCCCATCCCAGCTGTAGGGACCAGGGAGCTTCCATGTGAACTGCAGAGGCTGGAGGGGTGGATGACATTTGAGCAGGCAGAGATGGACAAGGGGGGCTTTCCAGAAAAAGGGAACAGGCCTGGAGCCTTGGAGTGATCATGGGATGGTGAGCATAGGGGACACCACAGAGAGGCAGAGGCAGTTAAATCTAGGAGTTGGGACCTGAGCAGAAGGGGCTTTGAATCCAACTAAGAGATCTGGAGTGAAGTTGATAGGGGAACAATTGCAGGTTGTGAACAAGCGAGCTACATGATTAGAACTGGATTTCAGAAAGTGGGGTTTTGGTGGGTAGACTGGAACGGGGGGAGCATCCGAGAGGAGGCATTTGTTATGAGCTGAGAGTGACATAACCAGGGCCTGGGTGGGAATACTGGCTGTGGGCCGGTAAGGAAGGGAAGTGTCAGAGCCACTTCACGGACACGGAGCATGACTTGGAGGGGTCCAGGGGGAGAAGGCCTGAGATGATCCTGAAGGTTGAGAGAGGATGGTCAAGATGACCTCAAAGGAAAGGCCATCAGGAGCACTGGAGTGGGGAGAAGATCATGACCCTGGGGTTCGGGGTAACTGGGATCACTAGCCTCTCTCAGTGGCCCATTGGTTGGCAATTGATGGTATCACTTTTAACTAACCACTCTGTAACCTCGAGTTGGAGGAAGAGAATCGGGGCAATCTGCACATCATGCCATGCAGCATGACCTTCTGGCTGCCAAAGCTGGGAGAAATCATCTGCCTGTGGCAATAGGGGTCACAAGTCCTTGAGGAGACCTGAGACCCCCATCTGTTATAATGAAGAAGCCAGTCTATAGGTCCCAGCAGCCATCTTTTAGTCAGTCTCCTTTCCCAAGAACATGGTTGTCTTGTCACTCCACGTCCTTGTCACTCCATGCACACACGCCATGCAGGATACTATAGTCAGTATCCTGCAACTGGCCTCATTGCTCCCCTCATCTCCCTCCTCTGGGCATGCCCTCCAGGCTGCTGGGGAGGCAGCTCCTTCTGCTGGGGAGAATAGAAGGGGCTGCGCAGGGAGCTAGGATACGTTGCTCCTGCCTTATCTGAGATGCTTTAGAAATGAGGCAGAACCTTGGACCTCATCACCAACCAGGATGAGCCTGTTGGTGGGGTGGGGGCCTGGGGCAGCTCAGTTGCTCCTGATATTGGTTTCTGCTTCTGTCCTCATTCCTCTCTCTGTGGGAGGTGCTGGCCCAGCTCCTCCATTCATTCCTCATTCATTGATGCCCACTCCATGCCAGGCATGATACCAGGAACCAGGAATGCAAAGATGAACGAGACCTATTACCTGACCTTGGGGAGCTCACAGGGAAGAGGACCAATTGCAGACAGTTATGAGGGAGAAGGACAGGGTGCTGCAGAAGCAGAGCACTCACTTGGCGGGTAGGCTTCCCAGAGGGGGCATCGTCAGGGTCATACAGGATGAATACAAGTTGCCAGACAGGAAAGCAGGCCTGTAGGTGGGGGTGGAGGTGGGAGGGACTGTGCAGGGGCAGGGATGCCACGTGATTCCTGGGAATTGTGAGTCTCCATTTAGGAGTGATGGTGGCCTGAGTAAGAAACCTGCCATCACAGTTGGAGAAGAGGTTAGTCTTCAGGTCATGTTCCCCATGGACCTGCCTCTTCCCTTTGATCCCTTTACAGGTTGTCCTGCTTGGAAAGTTGAGCACAAACTGATGTCTAGTTTCTCTAATGATCAGCAGGGTCCTCTGGGTTGGAGATCAAAGGCAGAGGGTCACGTTCATTCCCCAGGGGTTCGGTCCCAAGCTGTTGGAGAACTCAACTGGGAATATCAGAGATCCCTGGGCTCAAAGAAGAGCCTCTGGGAAGAGCTCCCCATCACTCTTTCCTTCCCATACAACTTCAGCAAGTGGGTTAGAAGGAAGCTGTTTCTACCAAGATGACTATCAGGGGGCTCACTCGGGTGAGCTTTCATGATGCACAAGCTCTCATCCTGACTAGAGAGGCCAATGTTCCCTTCATGACCCTCTGCAACACCCTCTCTCCACACCACCATCTAGTGGCCCCCACAGGCCTCTTCCATCAGCCCTGACTGGTCCAGCCCCCAGGGAAATTTTCCCTCCCGCATGGGTTTTGTCTCCCATCTGAACCTTGGAGGGCCGGAATGGCAATGGTGGAGTCCTCTGGTTTCCCCAGTACCTAGCAGATGGTATAGAGCAACCGACGCTATTGTTATTGCGTGAGTAATAATAAGTAATAATGACCAACATTTACTGAGCATTCACTACACGCCAGGCCCTTGTCATACACCCTTTACCTAGAGTAATGATTTATTACTCACAGCAACCCCTCCAGGTATGCTTTATTCATTACCCCTATTTTCCAGGTAAAGAAACTCAGGCCCAGAGAGGTCACATAAGTTGCCCAAAGCCTTGCAGCTGGTAAGTGCCAGAGCTGGGATTCGAACTCAGGCTATCTGCTCCTGAGTTTATCCTTTTACCCCAGGCGCTAGACTGTCTTTGTATTGTGGACTATTGTGGACATCCAATAAATTCCCTGCTGACAAGTAACAGTCAAGTTTTCATTCATGAATTCATTGACTGATTCATTCATTTAACCTACGTATGGAGCACCAGTTATTCAAGAGGTGCTGGTGGATACAGAGAAAGGAACTAGGCACAGCCTCTGCCTTCACAGAGCTCACAGTCAGTTGCTTAGGGTGACTCTGTGCAAGAAAACAAACTGGTTTCAGGACCTTGAGAACCTTGAGGTGTATCTGGTCCCTCCCAGACCGATGATCACGGGCAAGTTGCCCGGATGAAGCAGCTTCTTCCAGAGGCTAATCGTGGATGTCTGAGGACAGTCCAGGCTAAGGACCCTGCCCTGGGTCTCGAGGATGATGTCTAGCCAGGGGAAAAAGGCCTGAGCTATTTCTGGCTGCTGCCCGCCCCCACCCCCCCAGGCAGTGTCAGGGTGCCTGCAGGAGGGGACCAGACACTGCCAGGGGCTGAGCAGAGCCAGCACATCTCCACATGCACCCCCTGGAGACCAGGGCAGGGGGGCCACCACAGACCCTAAAATGGAGCAGGCTCTGGGGAGGAAAGCATCTGCCAAAGCTCATCTATGACATTGGGAAAAGAGAGGCCTCCAGAAGGGCTGCAGGGATGGCTGGTGAAGCGGAATCCCATGTTAATGCCCCTCCCCCCATTTAGGGCAACATTAGCACAAAGCTCTGCAGGCAGGAAACAGGGCAGTGACCTGGAACCCTGAGTGGAGAGCCACAGAGAACGAGGCTCTGAGGCCTTCCAGGGAGGAGGCAGTCACATGTGTGGACTTCTTCCTGGAGTCCCTGTCCCCAAATGCCCCCTTCCTGGCCTGCTTGTGTTGCCTGAAATCCCCACCAGTAATATCTCCTTAAAAATAGCATTGGTCCCCCAAACTCCTCCTTTCAAATTCTGGGATTTGCTTGAGCTGCCTTCTTTCTCTGCCTGACAGCTAGGTGAGAACTGGCCCAGAAGGTCTGCATAGAGGATTTTAGATAGAGAGTAGGGGAGCATGGTTCCCCCCATACTCTGAGGGAGAAGGGGGCCCTGCACCAGCAGTGGGAGGGGTGAAGGCCTGGGACACTTCTCCGCAGCATGGGGCAGAACTGAGCAGGGGCTGCATCTCCCCATCCAGGAAGTGGCATCTTAGGTCACCACACCGAGGCCAGAGTGCCCGGTGGTCCTGCCACTGAGTCCCTGTCACCCTGGGCAAGTCACTGCCATCCTCAAACACTGGACTC